CTAGGGCTGGTTTGGGGCTATTATTTGCCAGTGTGCATAAAGTTACTGTTCTCAAATCTGGGTAGAAAATTGCATCAGAGGCGTGTTTTAGATAAATATTACTTGTTCAATAAATATTTGTAGAGGAGTTGGTATCTGTCACTCACTAAGCCAGCGGCTGAGAATGCAAGAATAACCAAACTGCCTTCACGGTATCTGCTGTCTTATCTTTACAGACAAGAAACGAGGTGACTATAACTTAAAGTGTTAGGTAGCCTGTGAGGAAACACAGAACATTGGGAAGAGGAAACACAGGAGCGTCTGAGTGATCAGGGAAGATTTCTAAGACCTAATATGTAGGAAGAAGTTAAACATGTGAAGATGGATTAAGAAGAATTTGGGCTGAGATTTAAAATGGACGGTGGGAAAAATTGTTACCTTCAGCCCCCACCAAATAAACAAAGCGCTTTTTTGTGGACATACATGAGTCAGAAGCAGGAACGTTTCTGAAACTGAAGAAATCAATCTAATCTCTACATAGCCTATGTGGGACTGGGTGTAAGAAAGGGGCTTAGATCTTGAATGATCTTTTAATTCACATTTAGGAATTTATACTGCATTTTAAGAGAACTGTAGAGACATTGGCTGGTGACTTCGAGATTAATTGAATCTTTTAACATTTCTGATCACATCTTACATTAAGGGCAGATAAGGGATATTATTTAACACTTCAAATACTAAAGTAGTGAAATAACTTTAGAATGGAGAACTGTATTGCTCCTTGGAAATGTCTAAGCAGTTCTAGAATAGTTGCAGGGTAAATGGAACTTATCAGGTCTCCCCCCACCCCCAACTCCATGCTCCCACCATCAATGATCAACACCTGTAGTCTTACGTGCGTGCTTGATGAGTGTGGTGTGGCTGTGCGTGAGTGGGCGCACCCGAACCTGAAGGCCGAGCATCCAGGGGCTGCGACGCAGAGAGCAGAGAACAGAGCGAGGCAGCAGCGGCCCATGCGCCTGGCTGCAGTAGAGGCCAGTGAAGAGGCGAGGAGAGAACTGAGAGAGATCACAAACAGTGAAGATTTGCTGGGGGCTGGTAGGCCTGCCAGCTTCCGGGTTCCAGCCTCCCTTCCTGTCCTGCCTTGCTACAAATGGTGCAGAAGGATCATCAAAAGCCTGAAAAGCCACTGAGGGATCCGGCACTCCTGTTCCCGTCTGCCCGGCTCATAGAAAACCTGCTCTGTGCCTTGCTGGCGACGGATGTGTCCTCTCCTGGTTGCCAAGTTTCACCATTTCAGTGGTGGCTGGAGCAAGCGTGGCCACTTTGAGCTCAGGAGTGAAATTGCTTTGCTTAGGTTGTGAGACCCTAAGTCAAGGATCACTGCATTTCCTGTGTCTCTAGGCTTCGAGCAAGTACTGTGCCTAAGCAAAGGCAAGCTGAACATACACCACTATCTCGTCACCATTGCTTGCATCGGAGATGCAACAAGGTAAGCAGACATTGATACACATTTTTATTAATAGATCAGTTATTTGACAGGGGCATTGAAATTTACTGGTGGACCATTAGCTCAAGTATGAGAACAAAAGATAAATATTTCATTTTTATATGTTCGTGGTTAATGAACCCCTTTTAAAGCAAAAGCTGGAAGACAACCAAAATATACAGGATATTTATGCCTCTCCTTAAAGGCATATGAATTGGCATATAGTACAGAAGAACTTTAATTTATAAAAAAAAAAACTTACCCTAGTTTTTTCACACTATATTATTAATCTCAAATATTGACTACTGAGGATACTTAACGGAAATTTAAAATGAAAAATGATTAACGCAAGGTAATTCCCTATGTGGAGCTTGCCATCTAGTGTTAATTTGTGGAAATAAAAAGACTGGTACAATAACTTTCAAATCAGGCCCACCAGATAACAGAGGGATGACTCAAAGCAACGTTTCAGTTTTGAGACCTATTTGCCCTTGAAGCTCAGCATTTTGTGCAGGTGGATGAGTGGGTTACTTCTGGGAAGCAATGCAACATAGCAAAATGCTTATAAATGCTGGCAACTCACTGGCATCACCTGGAAAAATTTTTAGAATACAAACGGCCAGGCCACACTGCAAACCAGACGCAGATGGGACCCAAACAATGTCATGTAAAATTTTCCCCGTGAAAACTGTGTGGCCAGGGTGAAGACCACTGAGGATTTAGTGGCTTAGACTGTGGACTTCAGCTAAATCACTACACTTAGCAGTGTCACATTGAGCAGGGAAGTTGGGTAATTATCTTTGTGCCTATGTAAAATGATAACCTCTCCTGGGATAATTGTGAGGAATAAATATGAATACAAATGTCAAGTGCTTAATATAATGACTGGTGTGTTCAACAAACACTAAATATTAATGACAGTGATTATGAAAATATTTTGATTTAGGGGAATAAATAACCTAAGTGATATGAACCTACAATATATGGTATGTTGGAAATTAGAATGAAGCCCCCGGGTGGCAAGCCATGATCATATAGTGGTTAGTACTCTGCGCTGTAGAAATTAGAATGTACTGCATATGGCATATTCCTATTTCTTTTTTTTTTTTAAAGATTTATTTATTCATATAGACCTGGGGTACAGGCCAGAGATGCGGAGGGTGAGAGGATTCACCAGAGACAGCGGGGGAGCAGAACAGGCAGATCGACAAAGTACACTGCTGAGGGGAGCAGCGGGCGGGTCAGGAGAGGTCTGCAGCACCATATGGTCACTTCTGGGGCAGGCGGGAATCGAACTCATGCTGAAGTGGCTTTAGATTCTCAGTGCTGTGCTTTAACCCGCTGCGCCACCAGGGAGGGCCCTCCTATTTCTTTTAAACTAGCAGACTTGTGAGAGGGGATTGCTGATGCTCAGCTCAGCCTACGGGCTGGCCACTCTGAGAAGTGAATGCTTATCCCGTGCTGACTTCAAGTGCTATGTAATGTGAAGTTTACTCCAATCAAAATCAATCTCCATCATTGGGCTCAAAATGCCCAGTTCCCTAACACGTCCCATTTGCTCACTTGAATGAGCTGTCCTTTTCTGAATTAACCAGGAGGCTGAGCCATCTCTTCCATAGATATGGTGAAAGCAGGCACAGTTCTGTGTGATGGGGGCAGATCCCAAGAAAGGGGAATTGTGACTTAGAAGTATTTTGGCCAGTTGTTTAAAAAAAGGGAGGATAATTTACTATTACTGTGAACTATGCTGGGAAGAAGGAAAGGCCATGTAAAAAGGGTCCAGTGAAAAGTAAATGTTTAGCTGTAATATTTAATGGAACATTAAGTGGGGTCATATCATAAAGTACTTGATTTTGGCAAAGTGGGTGTGCTTCGCCACCTTATCAGTCCTTGGATTTACCAGGGGTTTATTCGGCTTGCTTTTGTTGCTGGGTTTGTTTTTAGTTCTGGTAGTAATTTATTGTCACAATTTGCATACTCTGGTTAACTTCTGATATTAAACAGGTTTTACATTTACTATATATTCTTTTTTGGCATATGTATTCAAGTACTTTGTGTTATAATTGGATTATCTCTATTGCTAGGTAGGAATTATACATGCTAGGTGTATTGTCAGACATATCACAAACTGGAGTCGTCACTAACTCACTGGAGTGTTCTAATATTAATATAGCCCAATTAATGATCCTTACTTTATGGCTAGTGCTTTTTATTTGCATCCTGCTTTCCAAGACTTTGTCTATCAAGATCAGGAAGACAGTTATTTTCTGGAAGTTTTGTTTTAGCTCTCATATTTAGGGTTTGGATTCACCTGGAACTGATTTTTTTTTAAATGGTGCAATGAGATCAAAGTTCTTTTTTCCCTTTTTAAATATGGATATCCACAATTTATTAACAAGACCATCTTTTCCATGCTGCATTGCTGTGACACCATTTTCACAAACTACACAGTTCTATGTATTTGTGTCTATTTCTGGGGCATTATTCCATTGGTCTGTTTTTCCTGGGCTAGTATCACTGTTTTAATGAAGATATTAGTCTATAATATCTTGCTACCTGGTGATGTAACCTTCTAACCTAGCTCCTTTGCTTAAGATGGCTCTACACTTTCATCTAAGTTGGTAACCCTCCCACTTTGCCTCCACCCCCAAAACATCATTGAGATCTTGCACTAAAACTGTCAATTTGAAAACTGACAGAAGCAATACTGGGTATTCTAAATATTTTTTATTACTCTATGGAGACTTTAAATATGAACTGACAGAAGAACTGGAAGATATTTAAGGAAATCCTTCAGAAGCAAAAAGATGTTAGGTAAAGTAAGAGGATGAATTCAGCTGCTCCAACACCTGGGTAGCAGAAATTCCATAGGAAATCCAGAGGATAAGGATAGAGGAAATTACGAAAGGAAAAAAAAAAAAAAAAAAACACTGATGACAAGTGAGAATATTCCAGAATCAAAGGTCAAGATGAATTTAATAAATAAAAAGGGGCAAAGCAAAGCTTATCATGGAGAAATGAGAAAACTCCAGAAATAGAAAATCCTAAAATCTTCTTGAGAGAAGAGTACTACCAATGGACTGACAACTGAAATGATCCCTCATCAGCAACACTGAAAGTTAAAAGTTTGAGTGAGGAAATGCTTTACAATTTTTTCAAGGAAAATGCTTTTCAACCACATTTCTACATTAGACATACTGCCAATGAAGCATGAAGAAAGACATTTTTTGACATGAAAGATCTCAACATTTTATTGTCCAAGTACCATCTCATAGAACGCACCTGGGTGATGTTTCACCAAAAGGAAAGCTTGAAAGATCCAGAACACAGAAGAATGGATATAGGAGAAGCCCCCAGGACTACTCTGCACACAGAGTAGGTTACTCTTGCCAGTAACCAGTTCCAGGTAGAAGGGAAGGAAAAGGGTCTGGATATCTTCAGTAGGAAAAGAAAATAGGAAAAATAGGAAAAAAAAAAAAGGAAAAATAAATGTACAATGTTGTAGAAAATTTGTTAATTTCAGGAAGAACAAAAAGCTACAGGAAAAGAAAATGTAATACACTACTAATTAGCTAACTAGTATATCAAAGTCATAAGTTAAACTATGAATATAAATTTACAAAAAAAACTGGTAGCTGCATTACAATGGAAAGTAAAAGCAACTCATGAAGTGAGTTAAGGGTATAAAAATCATCTTCCATAAAACAAGTTAATAACAAGAAATAATGAGTTAAATCAATAAATAAAGATGTAGCAGAATAGATTTATTCTTTTAAAAGATGGAGGCAAATACCAGAAGAAATTGTATGAGACATTTTTTACTGCATGTGTCTAACAGTGCAATTCAGTATCTATAATAATCAAGTATCTTGAATATTATATATGTTAGATTTAACAATAAAATAACCTCCCTCAAAAATTTTGTAGAAGCATTTTCACTGTATCAAATACAACACTCTCATGAAACTATTAACAAAACTTGACAGTCTGTTCACATGGCATGGGACAAGGCTAAGCAATAAATTAATCTTTTAAAAATGTCTATATATATGAACCAGAACAATTTTTCTTGAGTTTAATAAGTCAATGGCTATCAAAGAACATTTAAAGTGACAGTGAAGTTAAATAGAGTTTAGGAAGAAATGAAAGCTCAACATTAATGGTACAGTATATTTGCCAGGATCTGTAAATATATATATAATTAGATCAGTAGAAACATCTTTAAAATATGAATACTGAGCATAGTAAAATGTTACACTGGATCTAATTATATCAGATATCTGATGAAAGTGCTCGTTTCAATTTTCCTTCTCGTTTACATGGAAACTTTAAAAAAACTCAAACAAATACTGTAATACAGTGTTTTAGAAAATATATTAACTGCAGAAAATAAGAAAAATCTGACAGTATGGTAATTGAAATGACATGGCAATGTGAAACAGAAAAAGGATAACTATAATTTTTAAAACTCAAAGTAAAAATACAGAATGATGAATCCATTACTTAATGTATTTATTATAACTGGGAATTGCCATCTTTAAAATATTCCTTCTAATGCTTATTTTTGAAATGTCTGACATTTGATAGGTTGTGTGCAACCTGTAAACAGATAAACAAAATATGGTTCTCTACAAAGAAAGAACCCTTGGCTTAGGAAGTACTTATTTTATTCCTACAAACTTAATTGAATATGGCTTTTGGAAATAGAATTTTTTTTTCTCTCAAAAAGTTAGCTTTCTCACTTAAAATGCTTATATACACAAATAGTCACAATTTCAGAGCTTCATATGTACTTAGAAACTCTAAACTGCTAATTATTTCAGTTGATGTAATACCTATCTCAGAACTGCCTGTGTATTTTCCCCAAGTACACTTTTACATGCATTATTTTTAAACAATGATACAAACATTTCATCTATTCTTACATACCAAGTCTCAATAAAATTTAGAAGTTGCAATTTTTTAAGCTAAACAATTGAAGACAATTTAAACCAATCACATACATCTGAACAAATGTCTAAATTTTGTGACACTATCAAGTATGTCAGCAAATCTGGAGAGAAGCAACTATGGTCATGTGTGTGGTCGTGACAGTTAATCGTCATCATCTCTTTGTAAAGGTATTATCTGAATTTCTTTGGCTATTCTTTCTGCTATTGTTTTACTATTGGCAGCAATTATTCTTCGTGACATCAAATCAAATGGTCCACCTAGAATCAAATCAAATATGGAAAATGGTTATATCTTGTACAAAAAATAATTTTAAAAAATTAGTATAGTAATATACACTTTTGCCAGTCATAATTTTAATACTTTTAGTTAGTTATCTTTAAAAAAATCTACTGTATTGCATAATCATAGTATTTGGGCTTTGGCAATACAAAATGGGTTTCTAATCATCTCTCTTTTTAGTAAACACTAGTTTGGGAGAATCTATGGATAAGAAATTTATATCTATTTTTATTCCTCCTTTCCATTTCCTGATTTTGTTGCTTTTCTCCCACATCATTAGTGAATTCCCATAACTTAGGTTCATCCTTTACTTTTAAGAGTCAGAGACTGGGGGTAGAGGAATGAGAGAGGTTTATGGATACACACTTGCAAATAGCAGATAAGTTCTGGTGACCTGATGAATGGTATAAACTATAGACATCAAAGCTGGACTACTTGCAAGTAGTAGGTAAAACAGTCAGGTGACCTGATACACAGGATACAGGTTATAGACCACAAAACTCTCTTATAAACAATAAACATGATAAGAGAGTAGAATTTAATTATTGCCAGTACTATAATAAATAGAAGTTATTTTATAGAAGTATTAGCTAATACTACAATGGCATTTCATTGCAGTATAAAAATATCAAATCAATATGTTGTAAACCTTATACATAATGTTGTATGGCAATACATCAACAAATAATACAGACTGAAAAAGAAAAAAAACTAGAATTCTTATGAAAAAGAAAAAAAAAGCATTTATTCATAGCAAGTATTAGCTTCTCTATGCCCACAGCAGAAAGTAAAAGAAGAAGAAATAAATGAATTACCTGGGTCACTATTTAAAAATCTCTTGGTACTCATTTGGTGACCTTCTAGACTTTCTGTAGGGTTTCTCAAGAGTTTCTGACACATTTGAAGTTTAGTCATTTACCATTCTCGTTTCTTTTCTTATTTTTTACTAATTTATGTTAATGAACTTTTAACCTTGCCTCTATCTTCTGTTTGTAATTATGATTTTACAGAAAATTATATGGCTCCCTTGCTCTAAGAGTTTAAGTATAACATATATAAAAGATTTGAAAAAGAAAGGGTTATTTGGAGGAAGTCCAACAGAGAGAAGTGTGGAGAAAAATAGTTTCCCCAGTCATAGTTTTACCTGTTACATCCATGAGCACCCCGCCAGCTTCGGTAACAATAATGCCAGCTCCTGCCATGTCCCAGCAGTGAATTCCCATTTCATAGTAGGCATCTGCAGCTCCAGTTGCCACCAGGCACATATTAACAGCTGCTGTTCCAACACCTCGGATCCTAAAAACATTTAAAAATAAGATTGGAAAAATCAGTTTTTTCAAAGACAGTTCTCCTCAATTGTGGACTAAAATAATTTGAGTCAATCTAAAGGATGAGTGTGGAAAAATGGGCATAACGAATTTTAAAATAACAACACTCAAAATCTAATTAGCCTGGTGCCTATATAAATAATAAAACTGATCCTCACAAAGCAATCATTTAGTAAGATAATATCAAAACAGTATTTTGAGGGGGAAAACTGAAAAAAAAAAAGTTACACTTCTACTAGAATGGCATACCTGTATAATTTCATATTTGTCTAAACCCAGGGATGATAGCCCCACACTACAAATTGTTTCTAAGAGGGGTGAAATAAACTCTTGGCCATTTAAGTGTGTGCATGTCAGGACTGTGACTAAAGGGTACTAGCATCCCTGTGCTGTACTCAGACCTCTGTACGCCAAGGAAGATTATTTCAGGTTTGCCTTTTCAACGCACTTCCTTCTTGGATCTACACTGAGGTAATCTATATATGGACTAAGGTAACTGAAGTTTTGATAGGTAAGGACATAATAGGCATTATAGTAATAACTAATTTAGCAAAGAATGCTGAAAGGAGTGGGTAAAAGATTGCTATTTACAATGTCAAAGTAGCTCCCCATAAATTACATAATAATTACAAAGAGGACCGATCAGCCACTACCAAGTGCTCAAAATTAAGGTAACTAAGAAGGTCTCCTGACATCATGCACTGAGAAGAACATAATAATGTTGTGGCATTTTTGACAAAAAAAGCATAACCTGGATCTAAATAAGAGAAAAACAGACAAACACAAATCAAGACACATACTACGAAATAATTGACCTGTATACTTTGGTATATCTTGGATCAGAATTTATTCAACATTTGAATAAAGTTACTATATTAGATAATATATCAATGTTAATTTGATTCTTAAATGTTATGTTATGGTTATTAGAGAATGTCCTTTTTATGAAAGAAACAGAGAAGTGTGTGAGAGAAAGGGGAAGCACAAATGGAAATCACAAATTTTTAAAAAGTAATTAAAATGAAGATTACCTACTATAATTTAGGGAATTCATTTACAGTAATGATCAGATAAAAATCCACAGATTACATATAACAATAAAAACCAAAGAATAAAAATAAATTCTGTCTCAAGGTAAGAAAACCAAAATGAACCAAAAGAAAGCAAAAGAAGGAAAGTAAGACAAAAAGGAGAAAAACAGTGGATCTGATTAATTTATCAACATCTTGGGGGGGGGAGGAACTACTATGCAAGTTAATCAAGATTTTAATTAAAAAGAAGAAAACAAATGTACAAAAGGAGAAGTGACAAGTAGGAAACAACTGCTGATACAGAGAAATTAGAAATCATCATCACAGTCTACTTTATATGCTCCTATGCAAATAATATGAAAACTTAAAGGAAGTGGCTCATTTCTTAGGCTGTGGAAATGTTCCAGATTAAAGGAAGCTAAAGAAACATGACAACTAAATATAATGCCTGACACTAGACTGGAGGAAGGGAGGGAAAAAGAGAAGGGATGATAAATGTTAACAACAAATTAACAGAGATTGTTAAGTTTGAAATTATCCCATGTGCTCTTCCCACCCCAGTATTGATCTTGATCCCTTCTCTTCCCCAATAGTGTCTCTAGAATGTTACAGCTGTTAGTTGATATTCTTTTTTACTTTATTACAACTACTATATATACATATTTTTTTCCTAAAGTTTGAAATTATTGTTAAGTAAAGTTTAGGGAAGAAATGGAAATAGCTTACCCATGAATGGGAATGCAAAGAAGTTTTTCCATATTAGAAAGAACAATTTTTATAGTTTCTGGTGTTCTGGAAGAGCCGAACTCTGTCACAAGGAGCGATTTTGTAATATCTAAAAGAAAACATTTTAATGTTTAATAGACATTGTAATTCCGATTAAAATATAACATTTTTGCTCCTCTTCCTCACTGCATTTAATATTTCAAATATTAAAATGAATTAAAATTTATTATCCCTGAACAGTCATTGTTATATAACCAAAAAAAAACACCTAGCTTCTTAGACCATCTCCCTAAAAATATAGGATATAAGTAATCTGTCTGATTGCCTCATATCTCTAAGGGGAAGCAAGCAAATACCTTGAATATAAAAAGAAGTGGAATTTAGAAATTGTACATTTAAAATAAAACTAAGTTAAAATTAAGTGGCAGCTCTCCTACTGAACCCACATTTATTCAGGTGTCAGGTTACCCACTGCTTTCCATTCCCTCTGAAACATGGTAATCAAACTCACAATGTACTTAATACCCTAGGCTCTTCAAGAACACTGTATTTACCCCACCCTTCATCCTCTCCCACCAGTGAAGACGAGTACTTATCACCTTATTCTGAATGTGTTTGGAACCACTGTATTTCTTCTAATATTCATATAATCAATGTTATGGCAAGTGAACAATTATTAGAAGCAAAGAGTTATTTCTAGGAACGCTATCCTATTCTTTCAATTCTAAAGTGCATTTTTTCCCTTCATGTGTTAACATCTCAAAAACAAGGATAAACCTTCCAATCTTTACATTTTTCAGAGCTCAATAAAAAAGAATGAATTAAAAATCAGCTCTGGGGCCCTCCCTGGTGGTGCAGCAGGTTAAAGCACTGCACTAAGCTTAAGCCACTTCTGCATGAGTTCGATCCCCGCCTGCCCTGGAGGTGACCCCAGGGCGCGGCAGACCTCTCCTGACCCGCCCGCTGCTCCCCTCAGCAGTGTACTTCGTAGATCTGCCTGTTCTGCTCCCCATTCTGTCCCTGGTGAATCCTCTCACCCTCTACATCTCTGGCCTGTACCCCAGTTCTGTATGGATAAATAAATAAATCTTTAAAAAAAAAAATCAGCTCTCGGCCCTCCCAGGTAGCACAAAGGGTTAGAATGCTGCACTGCAAGCTAGCCGCAGCGCTTCCATGCAAGTTCAATCCCCAGCCCTTGAGGTGACCCACATGGTGCAGCAGACCTCTCCTGACCCTCCCGCTGCTCCCCTCAGCAGTGTACTTTGTCATTTGCCTGTTCTGCTCCCCACTCTGTTTCTGGTGAAGCCTCTCAACGCCCTTGCACCTCTGGCCTGTACCCCAGTTCTGTATGCACAAATAAATCAATCTTAAAAATGTGTTGAAATACAGTGCTCAGTATGTCATGACACGGACTTTTGAAATGGGAGCAGATGGAAAAGAGTGATGTTGGATATCAAAATAGAAGTAGAATGAAGGAAGCAAGAAAAGACATGGAGGAAAGATAGATAGAGGTACACAAATGGAGGAAAGACAGGCAGAAGAACACAAATGAGAAACGTGGCAGGCTGGTCCTGGTGTGCACAGAGACAATGGTAGTGCCTCTTGACTTCATGGAAGATTATGTGGTCTATTTGGGATTTGGGGTGTTTTCTTCCCAGCTTTCTGGTACCTGTCTTATGGTTTCCCATCCAGAAGGTGTCTTACACTTTTGGCAAGTTTTAGTTCTTTGGGCCACATCCATGTACCTGGACATTTGCCCACAAAAGGATAAGTGATTTGGAGGCTTTTGGGGGGAACTACTATTTAAAATCCTTTCTTCTCTCTCTGCACACCAATGCTATTCAAAATCTTTCACAACAAGAGTCTGCTTCCTTTGCTTTTGTATGTGTATGGATGGCAAGATCTCCTTTTACAGCATGAACCCCCCTAACAGTTTGGGGTCACTCAGTACCCCTTAGTCACATGCTTACATTTGATTCAGAAGACAAATTACAAGAGTGTAGGAGGATTCTGAACTTTGTTTTGAAGGTATCTTTCAATTCTTGCTGCACTAAAAGGAAATCAAACATGCAACTTCTGGACCATGTGGGACATAGTTTGTGAAAGAAATATGACTCAAAACCTTAATCAGTTGTCATAGACAAGACTTAAAATGCCAATCCTCATAAAAAAATGTACTGTATTAGTTCTATTGATTTCCAACTTTAATGGCTCCCCTGGATTCCCATTTCCTGTCTCACAGGCTGGCTTCAGTGGCATCAGATTAGAGGAATTTGATAAAGAGTAGAGTATGAGACACAGCAGCAAAACAATAAACCATGAACTCCAAGAACCATTAATCACCTTCCTGGCCCTAGACCTAGTCAGTCACTTACACTTGCTTCCTGTTTCCACTAACACATTCACAACTGAGATTGAAATTAAACATAAAATAAATACAATTTGTGAATCAGCAATTAGAAAATACCATAGGTTTACATTCAAATACAGTAAAATATAAGTATGTAATACCAACTGAATCTAAAATTAGAGGATGAACTTACCTTCTTGTTGTGAAACCTGTAGTTTCTGACCATTGCAAAAGGCACCTTTCCCTTTCCGGCCAGTATACATCTTGTCTTCCACACAACTATATACAACTCCAAATTCCATCTGCAGAAGGAAAACATACTTCTTTTACCAAAACTGCATCTTTTTCATTATTAAGTCAATACATTTTCTAAGATAGTAACAAGGAAATCTAGTACACTGACTGATGCTTTCAAATGACTAAAATGGGATAATTAAAATGCTAATTTACACTTCCACAGTGGAAAGAAGTCATCAGACTTGATTCCATAGCTACGACCCACCAATGTGTATACACGAGGGCACCCACCTGGACCTCTCTCCTTCCAGCACAGATGGAAACCTGCCTTTCCTGTTTTCTAAGGTGTGTCCTTCCTGTGTTGATTCCAACCCTCTTTCTTCTCTGAAAAACTGTTCCATCAACTGATCTCCTTTCTCTTGGATTTCAATTCTAAGTAGCTTCTCACTAAAATTTTTCCTACCAAGCAAAATTTTTAAAATGTCATCTCCTTTTTCTTCCACTGCCAGAGTAATCTAGACCACACAGCTAGTCTCCTGCTCCATTACAGCCGGGCTACTACCCTGATCTTACAATCTTTTGAAACTCCCTGCAGAGATCAACAATGAACTCTTACTTAACAAATGCCTTCTCTGCAGACCGGTGACCATTACCGATAACTCTTCAATACTTAATCCACTACCTCCATGTCTCTGCCAGTACTTTTTGTCCTCCTACTTCACTCACTCATCAATCTTGGAGTCACTTTTTCTTAGGTCCTTCTTCTCTGATTAATTCTTAAAAGATGCATATCTCAAGGTTTTCTTTTTCATCTTTCCATTCCCTTTCTCCCTGCATCCTTACATTCTGGTACTTTCTTATTCCACCAATTCAGCTGCCACCTACAATTATGATTATCAACACCATCATCACAGGTAAGAACCTGGCCTAGTAAAAACCTCCACTTAAGGGGAAATTCACTCCTACCTGGTCAACCCTTATTCTTTCCCAATATACGTCTCCTCTGTCAAATTTTATCTTGAACACCGTTTCTGATTTTGGCATTTCCTGTGCTGCCCCTTCTTAGTTCAGAATCTCCCACAATTCTGATATAATCTCTAACTGCTGGAATTATGTGTCGCTCTGTACTTAAAACCTGGCTGGCTTTCTACCGCCTACACGCTGCCATTTTCAGGGTTTCACTCAAGAATACCTCACCACTCCCCACATGCATCATGCTCTTCACCAAATTGTTTTTATTGATTAAAGTGCTTTCCTTTTCCTATTTCTCTGGAAGACTCCTTATTTTCTAAGATCCAATTCTAAGACTCACCCTTTCTGTGAAGAGTTTCCTAAAACACTGTTGGCAGAATTAATTATAACCTCTTCTAGTATCCCTGGTGTTTTTTTTTTCATAGTTCCACCACACAATACCTTACCTATTCACACACCTAACTTGCGCTAAATTGTAATTTCAAAGGCAGAACAGGACATAGCCCAGGACTGATTGTATGATAATTGCTCACTTAGTTTAGTTTAGTTGTTCTCACTGATTAACATAATCCTGAGACAAAGATTTCATTTGCACTAAATTGTGTTTCTATTTTCAGAGATTTCTTAACTCTCTTGAGTACATGATGCTCAACTATATCACAAATTTCTTGAAGAAAAAGATGTGATATATTAGTAACATCACTCATTGTTTGATAATTAAGTAGTCAAGTGGCAAGGACAAGCAACAGTCACAGATTTAACTCTACTAAGATATAACAAGTATTTGGGTTTCTACATATACCCTGCATTTTTCCAGTTTTGTTTTAATTCCGACTCTTCCTAGTCTTTCAATATATCCTTGCACTGACATCTATTTAAACATTTCTGACTCAAATCTCACTTTTTTTTCATGAAGCATTTTAGAATGCAGAGCAATTCCTATGTATTTTTGTTACTCTTGTTTATTTTTTTTTCTTTATAATTCTTGCTTTTCAGAAAACAAAATTTTCTTCATTGGAAAAAGTATCATAATTTTAATAGGTCCATGACTTAGTCCAAAATAATAAAGTTATATAAATTGAATACAGAAAGAAACCTGAATTTACTATGGAGACAAATTTATTCCTTTCCAGAAAATGAGTACAAGATATTTTAGTAACCATAAATTTAAACGTACCTTTTTATTTACAACAAAGCCGATCGAAACAGCTACAAAAGGAAATCTTAAAACAAAAACACAAATATACAAATTTACCAGAATAGAACTTAAACATGCTATTTCATAAGATAAAATTACCTATATTCTTTCATATAAATATTCTTATCTCTCTTCTACTAGAACAGTATGTATAGCATGCAACCCTCTGAACATAAAGAGAGAGGGGGAAAGAAGAGAAGAATGGCGGCTATATAAACACAGGATGTCTCTACAGGTATAGGTAGAGGAGAAAAAAATGTTCCCCATTTCCTTTTTAGTTGTGGTCCAAAAATTAAGTTGAGGCCCTCCCTGGTGGTGCAGTGGGTTAAAGCACAGCACTGTGAAGCTGGCCATGGCACTTTAGTACAAGTTCAATCCCGTCCTGGAGGTGACCACATGGCGCTGCAGATCTCTCTTGGCCCGCTCCCTGCTCCCCTCAGCAGTGTACTTGTCAGTCAGCCTGTTCTGCTCCCCACTCTGTCACTGTGAATCCTCTCAGCCCTCCCCCCCCCGCACTTCTGGCCTGTACCCCAGTTCTGTATGCACAAATAAATAAATCTTTTTTAAAAGCAAGTTGACATAAGACAGATTAAAAGAGAAAAACAAAATTATATACACATGGAGGCAAAACGGGACAATTGGGTAACTGAAGCTTCTGTGATAGTTTGAGTTAAGAAATGAGCTGGGATTTCACAGGGGAAGCAAGGAGGGGTACTTCATAGGATGACAAGAAGATGGGATGCCTGGTATTAGATGCTGCTTTCCTGTATAGTTTATACAGATTAAAGAAAAACTCTGGGTCAGGCTCTCTAGCTAAATTATTTTAGGCAGAGGTAAATCTTTCCTTGAATCTGCTGAGTCTTTACTGCCTTCAATTCAAAACAATCCACATGCCAAATTGTCACATCTGGGAGTGGCCTATTCTGTTCCCCTTCACTTAATACATCTCTGAAAGGAATCACAAGAGGCTAATGATAATGGTCACCTTCACAGATGAGTCATGAGAAAGTGGAGGAGAAAAGTCAGAAGGTCACTGTGACATTGTGATTTATAACCAGTACATACATGCATACATATATATATATATATGTACACACACACATATATACATATATATTTATTTATTTATTTATATTTGATTTCTGTTCTTATTTCAAAGGGGTTTTAAGTGAGGAGAACTATAAAAAGTATCTTTTGTTATGTTAATGAGAGTACTTCTTGAAAGCTTCTGGGAGGACTGGTTGCTAAAGGAACCAACCAAATGATTTAGAGTTGGTACTTTCATAACCAACCACCTCCCACCCCCCCTCCCCCCCACACACACACCCCTCCTGGGAGGGGGATGGGGCTGGATGTTGAATGAATTAATGTAACAAAGCCTCCATAAAAACCCTAATGGATAGGGCCCTGAGAGTTTCCAGATTAATGAACATGGAGATCCAAGGAGAGTAGCTGGGAGAGTGCTCCTTGCCCTCTGCCTATTTTCCATCTGGCTGTTTCAAGGTTAAGTCATTTTACAGTAAACTAGTAATTCAGGAAGTCAGATGTTCTTGAGTTTTTGTGAGCCACTCTAACTCAAGGAAAAGATTGCGAGAACCTCTGATTTATAGGCAGATCACAAGCAAAGTGACAACCTAGGCTTGTGACCAGCATCTCAAATAGGCCTAGGGTGAGGAGGAGGAGAATAAGAGGAGGCTCTTACAGGATAGCACCTTTAACCAGCAGCATCTGATGCTATCTCCAGGAAGACAATGACAGAATTAAGGCATTCATCTTCTGTGTGGTATTGCTTATGGGTGTGGGGAAATTCCACCCCTTTGGAAACTGGGAATCAGGACTTCATACTACATGCCATTTATATCTTTTGAATCTCAAATGCCACGGATATAGTAATGATGTTAAATATTTTTTTTCCAAACAGTAAGAATTATTACAAAAAACTGAATTGGTCCTGGTTAAAAAGACTTTTCTTTGGTCATTTCTCCCACAGTCTAGACTGGTGGCAAAGACAGGTACTGAGTTGAACTGAATAAAATGATAATTGTCAACTCTAACATCAAACTTGGAATTTCACAACTGAAAAATAAACTGTTAGCCAGTTATTACTATGGCTACAAGACAGTTTAACCACATAAATTATAATTTTAGATACAAGATAGACTCAAAATAAACAAAACAGGCAAAATGGGTTCAACATAACTACTGAAAACTACAACTTTTTACAAAATATTGTTTTCATTTTGATAAAAACAGTATCATACTATACACTGTAGTATAATTTTCTATTACAATATCTCATGAGCATCTTTGCACATTAATATTCTATCACATACAGATTCTAGATTTTAGCTTTATAGATTTTAACAACTTTTTTATCAGTAAAAATATTTACAGCCATATGGCAACTTCAAATGTAATATCAATGTATAATCCCATCAATCAGACTAGATTTCTTATTTTAACTCTGTCTATTCCATCAGACTCTCTTTTAATGCTAATAAACTCAGTTATATATTTGCTTTATGCCAGGCATACCTATGTGAAGTTCTTATAAAATATATTACTTGGGCTCTCCCTGGTGGCACAAGGGGATAAAGCACTGCATTATGAGGCTCTCTGCAACCACTGCAGCACGAATTCAATCCCCCGCCAGAGAGCTGACCCACATGTCGCAGCAGACCTCTCCTGACCTGCCTGCTCCTCCCCTCAGCAGTGTACTTCAGTAGATCTGCCTGTTCTGCTCCCCACTCTGTCTTTGGTGAATCCTCTCACCTACCAACACCTCTGGCCTGTAACCCAGTTCTGTAAGCATAAATAAATAAATCTTAAAAAAAAAATTTATATATTAAATATATATATATATATATATATATATATATATTACTCATTGAGTCCCAACAAGCATTCTGTGAGGCAGGACTATTAATATAGCCATTTTATAGATTAAAACAAAATTGAGGTTTAGAAAGATTAAGCAACTTACCCACGCTCACAAACCCTTTAAAAAAGTACCTCTGTTCAAACTCAAGTCTACTGATGTCAAACCCACGTTTTTTCTCAGATTTATCTCCTGATCATCAAATTCATTATAAATAGACAACATTCCACTATTGTCCCATTAGTTCCTTAACTGATCTCAAAGTAGCAATGTTGCTTGCTTGCATTTTTGTCTCCATCAGTTCCTGACCAGTGTACTCCAATTAGTTAATTTATAACCAGTAATTACCATATTAAAAATTTTAAAACATACCTATGTACAAAGTTAGTTGTCCCATCAATAGGGTCAATGATCCATGTAGGGTTGTCAGTTAAGAGACTTTTTTCCCCAGCTGCCACAGATTCTTCCCCGATGAAACTAAAATTAAGAATGATGAATTCTTTACACTACTTTCAACAGTTTTGAAACCTCATCATTTTCTTAGCTAGAGTCTACTTTAAAACACAGCAAAAGTTGGACATCACACATTTCTACTGTTCTTTTTTCTGTTGTACTGATGAGAGTTTTGTTTTCTATAGAGCATAGTCACATGAAAAATAACAGAATTCAAAAATTCTAGAAGACATTACCAAGGTATACCCATGTACACACATACACACATACCTTACCCCTAGGAAGGGCATTTATTGCAGATAGAACTTGTAACTCTAAAAATTCTGCCATACTCCCCTTTTTAAGAGGTAGACTCCTTGTCTTAAGTCTGAACTTGGTGACATTTCTAGCCAACAGAATATAGAAGAAATGACAACATCTGACTTTCAAGGCCCATTCACAAAATGGCTCTGTGGTTTCTATCTTATTCACTCTTTTCCTTCCCTCTGTCAATCTGTGGTAAGTCAGCAGCCATGTTGTCAGCTGCCCTGTGCAGAGGTTTACATGGCTAAGAACTGAGGGAAGCTGCCTACAGACAATCCCAGAAGAACTAAAGTCACCAACAATCTGTAACTGAATAGATTCTTCGGATCTACTTGAGTCTTGTGATAACTGCAGCCTTGACAGTTTAACTATAATTTTATGAGACCTGAGCGAGAACCATGTAACTAAAAATACTTCCATAATCCTGACCCTAGAAAACTTTATGCAACTTTTTTGCATAAAGTTGCTACATTTTAATAATTTGCTTAGTAAATTATATTAAATAAATCATTGAAAAAGCAAGTCACCCATCAAAATTACTGTCTGCACATCTTCCTAAACATACTTTGTTGTAAATACATGAATTCTGTAAATGGTATCTGAGTTGATTGGGTTTTTTCTTTCCATTCCTACCATTTTGATTTTTTCATTTATCAGTAACAATTTGTTCTAATAGTCATTATCATGACCTTCTTTTATTTCTTTTTCTCTTAGCTGTGTACCTTCATTAGAAGGAGTATATTCAGTCACAGTTATAAAATGTTTTCCTCCTCAATGGCAAAAACACACAATGGTATAAGCAGGAAACAGGAAATGGTAGTGCTAAAATTTTAAAACACTGACATTACTTCTGCTAAATTTCTGTCTCCCTAATATGCCCAATTGTAGTGGTTCCTCTCAAATTCCCTATAGCTGTCACCATTCCCTCACATAAATAAGTGTACAATATAGAGAAGGAAATTAAATTTCTAAATCATGCTTATGGCAAACTCTTGTAATGCTGGCGTCCCAGAACACACTCTCCTTAGTAAAAAAAAAAAAAAGCCAAAATAATTCTTGTTTGCTGCTCCTTGACAGCTTCAGCTTGGGCACACAAATACTGTTTCTGCCCAGTATTTGTAAGCTAATGAGTTAATTATATCCAAAGCCAGTGAATTCAAGGATGAAGCTACAAGTGGTGCTAGAAGTACTGGTTAACGCTGCCAACCCTCCCAAGTCCCTGCCCAAGGCTGGCTCTTAGGGCTCCAGCAAATAATTCTTAAGTAAATTTATTTTCAGCATAAATTAACTAAAGTCAATTTCTAAATTTTCCATGAAAATTTCTGCCTAGCATATTGACTCCAACCTAGGTGTCATGTGAAATTGAAATAAGAAATACCTGTGAGATGGATATTTTTTCTTTATGGAAGAGATAAGCATTTTTTCAACTTTTTGGTCAGTAGCAGTTACCAAATCTGCTGGAGAACTTTTAATCATAACATTCATTTCATTTTTTAGAGCTTCACGAACCACCTACAAAGGTTTTTTTTGTAAGCAAATAGAAAAAAAGCATAAGTAATTTTAAATCAAACTAAAAGATGAAATACAGAATTGGTCTAAAACATTAAAATTGTCTTAATGATAGTCTTAGAAATTCGTAGCACATGTTTAAAAAGGCTTAAGAAGTTATGTACTTGATACAAAATTATATGCGATTTTAGATTTATACCTATTGTTACAAGAAGTTTTATGACATGAAATTGGAGTATTCACTCCATTTAAAGTGTTCAGTAAAATAAAAGGGGATATTTAATATGACTTTTTTTTAAACAAGATAACCACACATTGACCACAGTCATTACATATGGCTGCCAAGATTTCAATTCATACCTCTCCAGCTTGTCTTGCCAGGGTGACTGCATAGTCCATGCATTCCTGCCAAGGATCAGCCATTTTCTGAATAGATTTAACACACAGTGGGGCAACACAGTTACAGATCTCTAACAATCTTAATTATACAACAGTTCACACAAAGCATCTCAATTACCAAAATACTTTCATTTGAAATTCACTCTTCCTGATTATAGAGTTCAACATTCTTAACAGATCCATTCTTTTCAACATTCTTTCACAGATTCTTTAAAAAGTTTTTTATTTAAATCCCTTCAGTTTCGGGCCCTCCGAAACTGTGGGACAGTGGGTTAAAGCACTGCACTAAGAAGCCTAAGCCACTTCCACATGAGTTCGATCCCCGCCTGCCCTGGAGGAGATCCACGTGGCGGGGCAAACCGCTCCTGACCTGCCCGCTGCTCCCCTCAGCAGTGTACTTTGTCGATCTGCCTGTTCTGCTCCCCACTCTGTCCCTGGTGAATCCTCTCACCCTCCGCATCTCTGGCCTGTACCCCAGTTCTGTATGAAAAATAAATAAATCTTTAAAAAAAAAATCACTTCAGTTTCATGGTAGAAACATTTTCATAACAAAAATACTGTGTAAAAGTGTCTCCCAAAGTGCCCATATCATATATTTAAACAAAACAAAACAAATATTTGCTTGGAAATGAAGAAGAACGGGCACAGAAATATTTTTAAAGATAAGTATGTGTCTGGGTGGAGAATAAAGTGAAAATAAGAGAAAAAGTACTAGGAATACTGAAATAAAAGCAGATTTGTAGGGAAAGAAAATGTACACATAAGTACATTAATTAGCAAACTGACCGAGTGTCAGGCCATTCCATGGTATCTTATGTAAATTTTAAGGCTGTAAAGATGAAAAACTTAGGCCTCAGAGATAATAAATAATATGCCTAATATTATATAAAAAGGTATGAATCAGAAGGCAATTCTGATTTTAAAAATTCACTGTTCTTTCATAACATTCTGAGGAAAGAAAATTCCAGAACTAAAGAAAGTAACCAAAAGAAATTTATTTCCCAGTGTTTATGAAAGATAAACATATTTTTGTGTTCTGAACTGTTCAGCTTTCCACTGACTTCTGAAAACTAAGCTAACTCATTACCAGCTTGATTATACTCTAAAATACTCTAGCTAGTACATAGTCTTTTAAGCTGTCAGAGTCAAAAAAAATTTAACATCATTTATAAAGCAACCCTATTTTTGTATCCTTTATCACAGAATGAATGACCCTGAATTTCACCTTAAGGACCACTCAGAAATTCCTACCATGGAATATAGGTAGGAAGGGGGGAGGAAGTGAGGGCAAAATGAGCTTTTTTTGACTAATGCTTTTTTCTGGTATCGACATGAAAAGCATGTAATAAGGAAGCCCCTTTTTTGAGTTACAAAACTCCTTAAATTGCTTCTAGAGTTGTTTCCAAAATTTTCCATTTCATTCTTATTTACCCCCAATCCGCCCTTTTAAACTAAATGTTTAACTGATGTTGTCAACAATAAGTTTGCTTTCTTGCTCAGTTTACTCATACCCCCATTTTCTCAACAGCATTGATGTAAGTCCTACCAACTCTTCAAGGTGCACTTTCTTGTAGGGATTACCTGCCCAGAAGTCACTTGTTTAATTATTTGCAAGCTATTTGTTGAATACTTACTATATATGCTAAGCGCTGCTTCCTGGTAAGGAAAAACAGGGACTTGGTTCACACTCTCTAGTAGGAGGAATATACTAATCAAAAGAATCAGACTACATTGCAAAATAGCAAATGTAATAAAAGCTAAGTAATGAGAAGTATATAACAGGGGAGTCTTGACCTGGTGTTCAGACAAGGTTTTTCCTAAGAACATGATTAGACATTAACTCAACTGCAGGATGCCTGTCTGGTACAAGAAGAGTAATTAAAAAACCTATGTGTAAGAGCTCAGAGATCTAGAGAAACAAGGAAAGATGAAGTTGGGGATTCCAGGGATCACCTTGTGTAAAGCCTTAAATATATGATTTTTATTTAAGAACCATGACGAGTATTATTACCCTGTGGCTATAGAAAAGAATGGAGAGGAGGGTTGAGGGGAGAGTAGAGTAAATGTGGGTAGATCATTTAGGAGCATTGAAAGATTAAGAGATTTAGACTTTGGATACAGTAGTTCAAAGGTGACCTGATGGTTGGCTTAAACATGCAGGAAATGTGTGTTTGGAGGGGTGGGGGAGAAGCAAGTGGGGGGTGGAGTGTTAGACAAACAAGTTGGGGAAATCAAGAGAAGAGAGTTTTAATTTTGGAGGTATAACTGGGGGAGCTTAGTAACAGAGACTGGATCTTGGGGTATGAGAGAGAAATTACTTAATGTTGCCCAAATTTCCACTGTAACAACTGAATGGATATCTATGACATTTATTGAAACAGAGCAACAGAAGAGTCAAGTTTGGGATTTGGGGATATGAAGTTTAAGAGTTTAACTAATAGAGGATGAGGGATCTTTGTGATACCAACATGTGATGGGATCTACACGTAGTTGAATAAATGATCCTGAGGGGTGTGGCCTGCAGATATAAACATGTAAGTTAAGTAGGCAGCGGCTGAACCCTGAGTCTGAGTAACATTCCTTTATGAGGGGAAACACACTGGGAGGGCCAGGATAGGGACTTTCACAAAGTCCTTCAAATTCTGTACAAGATTCTTAGGGCACTCAGGAGTACCTTGCTTATATTTTGGTGACCTGTGTGCATGTGGTATTTTCTCAACCAATTTGTGTTTAAGTCTTGATGGAAGGGATCAATTTTATTCGACTTTATTTTCCCAAAGACATAAAAAGAGCGAAACGTTTTCAACGATTTCTATCTTGGTCACAGTCCTGGCCATGGGAGCCAGGCTACTTTCCCCTCTGTCACCTGTCCCCAGCAGTGACTATGGGCCACAGGGGATTAGGGGCGCTGTTCCTTCCTTTACACAATACACGACCCTGGGAACACGCCAAGTTTCTCTGACATTTGGAATTGGTAACATGAAAAGGATGTAATTCTTTTACTTAAGCAATCACAAGGGTTCGGTAAGATCGCGTAGGCGAAACCGCTATACAGTGTGAAGACTATTCCTGGTGTCACTGAGCAGCGGTGGATCAGGATATCACCGCAAGAAAGAAGGGCCCGACTGAGGCCTCAGTCCCAGGGTACCAAATTCTCCACTTCCTACCGCGCTCACCGAGCCCCCACCTCTGACCGCGCCCACCCCACTCAGACAGCGAATGAGGGGTGGCCCCGCGCCGCCCTGGCCCGCAGCACCCGCCGAGCCTGCCCGAAGGCCGATGTGGGGTAGCAGAATGCGGGTCTCACCTTGAGTTGGAAGGCGTCAGATTCGTTAGGATACAGGCGGGATCCGGGGCTCGGTTCTTCCGGAGAGAGAGGAGAAATATCCCGACAGGAAGTCCCGCCCTACCCCTGCGAACCTGCCTAGTGGGGCGTGGCTATCTCGTGACCACGCCCCCAAACCCGCCCGGAGGTGTGCCGGAAGGGGCTCCTTTCTTGTACCTTCGGGTTCAGCTCCGCCCTGCCTGCCCCGTGGGATTCTGGCCTCGGCTTTCAGGTCTGAGATGCTTTTTCTCCTGCGTTCACGTTCTGCGTAAAAATTTAAATTCCTTTCTTCTTCCGCCCATTTCTTATTCTCCTGCTTTTCCGTTTCCCTTTCATTTATTTCATACCAGTTCTTAACACAAATTGGATGTGTACTAATCAGGCACTACTTTGATTTTTCAACTTTTATTTGCTATCTACTATACATTATAACCAAACTATACTAAAATGGCCAGAACCCGCTAGCCCTATTTTCATTATTCTGCTATCAATTATTGAACACTTACTATGCTTTAGGCGATTGTTTTTACATTCATTATTATACTTATACATTGCAACCAATTAGGAAGGTCAGATTAGTTTCATTATATGGGTAAGGAAACTAAGGCTCAGGGAAATTATTTGCCCTCAGGTCAGGCAGCAAGAATGAGTGGAGACACCGGCTCAAGACCTCACTCAGGGAATATATGGCACAATGAAGTTGCATTATATGAGACACAGGATTAGTGTATGGTCCTTAAAGTGTGTCGTCTTCTTGAAATAACAAGTCTAACATGGTTACATCTTAGTACTATAATACAAAAATTGTACAGACATAAAGTTGTACTTGCCACAACAGGACTAGGAAAGCAGGTTATTAAGTTCCTTGCTTTTTTGACTGCTTCCTTAGTTTCATCAAAAGACAAAATGCTGTCACCAATATGTTGCCAATGAGAGTTCATGAACTGTGGAGTCAAAGAGTCAATTCTCAGACCTCTCAGAATCACAACTTTGTCTTCTAACTTCTAAAGCACAATGCCTTAAATCTGATTTAAGCATCTTCATTTGTCTGGTAAATACTTCTTGATTAAAAAAGACTCAAAAATCAGCTGTTTCTTCATTGTTCATCATATTAAAGAAAAATCTTGCCAACTATATGTTGATTTGTAAACAGAATTTTCCAGGCATTTGAAGAAATGTCATCAGTCCTCTTTAAACCTCATTTAAGTTAGCATGATGCCAGTGATTTGGCAAAGATGCTGAATCAATATAAGCAATGTGTAATAAGATAGAGCAAATATCTTTTGTTTCAAAACAAACAAATGAAAAGGAAGTTTAATGTCTTTTCCTATGGGCTTCATGCCCTTCCTCAAGCAACTCAGTTTCTTTCCAGGCCAGAGGTCGTTAAACTTCTAAATGCTGACTGAAAGCAAAATGAAGGATCCTCTAATGTTGAGGTGACCCAGTGCTGAGACCAGTTTTGGCAGTGTTGCATGTGGGTGCCACACAATCCAGAAGATTTCCATCCAGTGTTATAAGTGGTTCAGATGATCATAGAGACTCAGCAGCTGGTACAGTGCTATTGGCTTCACAATGGGACAATTTTTGAGGCCAATCACAGCTGCAGCATTTTTCTCCAATTCTAAAGTTTATCTGCTATGCTATGGTGGTCATCAGCTCTGGAGAGGCATTATGTCTAGGCCATTTTTCAGACTTCTCTAATGGTTAGTTTCCTCTTGGGAAAACTTTGATAGCCTTTACTATCAGCTGACTTCTATTTTTGAAAGTCATTCTTATGCAGAATCTCAAAGTGGAGATAAGATACAATGCCCTTAACACCTCCTCAGGCACCAAATTGAACAGGGAAGAGATTCTGGGGCGGGATGATAGCTATTGTCAAGACACAGAGTTGCCTGGTCATCAGTCCCCAAAGTGGTCAATTGTCCTGTATTTGTATAATAGAAAGGGAAAACCATGGTTACTCCATAGGTTGCAATTCTGGGTATTTTGAGACTTGGGGTAGCTTAGTCTCTGGAGATAGCTTCTTTTAAATGGTAATTCCTTCACTAAAAAATAAAAATTCCAAAACCCACATTTGAAGACTTTCTTAGTTAATAGTTATTTAGTGGACTTTGATTAGTAAATGATAAAGAAATTTATATATACAATGTCCAGGTTGTCAGGGTTAGTCTCAATACCAAACATGATTTCATGTCTTGCTATAACAGATTGGAATTCCAGATAGAATTTTTATTCTTGGGGCAAGGTATAAGAGGAGGAAAAACTTTTCTTCTACTATCCTAAGTTCTTTGGCGAGTTAATAATTAGGTTGACATAAGACATATTCACAGAAGAAAAACTTACTTTTGTCCTTATAGGGACCTCAAAGATAAGAGTTCTAAGGACAAGCAGAACAGAAACAGGATTATATACCATCCTTAAGTAAGGAATGGAGTGGGAGCTTAGATCTTAAAAGGAGAAGAAAGGTGATTCATAGGAAGATAAAGAGAGTAGATGTTTGGCAATTATGTTTACCCTGCTATATAGATTAAGTCATTCAGATAAAAAGTTTTCTCTTTCAAGCACTGTCTTTAGCACCATACTAAATTCTAAAGGTAGTTAAATGAGAGGTAAGTTTTTCTTTAACCTCTTGGTTCCCTTGGACTCAGAATAATCCACACACCCAATTGGCATATTTGGTGAACAGCTTATTACAGTCATCTTTCTTAAGGGTTGAAATGAAGCCATTAAAGAAAACTAGCTTACTGCTATACCTCTGGATCTTTTTCTAACTAATCACACCTGTGTAGAATAGTTGACATGAACTCAATCAGTGACACTACCTGCTTTATGCCTCTTCTTAATAATCTGAACAACTTCATTTTCATTCAAGCTAGAAAAATTTTACTATATAAGTGTATATATACACACACACACACATATACATACATATTTTTTCATTCCACATTGTTCCCTTAAATGCTTACGTGGAAAAAAGAATCCCAGGTGATGTTGAAGGAAATGATTTGGTTTAGTTAAACCTTACAGTCCAAGTTTCTACAAACTTTTTGGTACTGAGGATTTACTGTACATCTATGATATATATAATAATAATATATTCCATGTTCCATTCATGTACTTTCATAGCTGCCACTTTTAAGGTGAAAATCGCTCAGATTTGTACAGAGTGACAATCAAGTTTACAATACTGTTAGATTGTTGTGAGGATCTTACTCAGACTAATTTAATCCTCATAGCAATATCATGAAGCAGATGCTATCATTATTCCCACTTCCCAGATGAATTTAGATGGAGAGACTAAGTAACCTGACCAATGTCACCCAACTCATGGCAGCTGGAATGGGACACAGACATAGTTTGACTCAAGAGTATATGCTTTTGACCTTCATGGGTATTGCTTAATTTGATGATTAATGTTCTTAAATACTCTGTTCGGAGCTTTGTACAAAAAACTGTAGGGAATTCAAAGAATATGTAGCATCCAACCTCAGGAATTTTATTTTTCAGTTCTTGTCTTAATTAGAACTACTCCATCACCATTCTAGGTCCTAGAGTTTATATCAGAACCAGAGACTTAAGGAGTTGAATAAGGTTTTAAGCCTTAGTTAAATCTCTTAAATTTACAGATTTGAAAACTGAAGTATAGAGAAGTATTTTGCTTAGGTCACAAGATTAATGAAAAAGTGAGATTAAAAAGGCAGTTTCTTTTCTTCCAGTAAGTAAAATGTTTGTCAATATCTTAGTTAGGTTTGTGCAAACTTCCTGAAAGTATAAGGAATGTATTGTACAAAAAGGAATAGCAATGCAAAAAATATATAAAGTAAAAAAATTTGCGCAAGAATTCCTCAACAGAATTCTATTTAGAGAAGTCAGTAGCAGAACATTCCATGTAGTAAATTATAATTTTATAATAATTTTATAAAGGTGAGTAACAACTCTCTACCATCATGCCAAACCAGGTCTTTTAAAAATCTTGGTATTCATATGCTGGATTTGGTGAAATTAGAAAAAAAAAAAAGAAGTAAACAAAAATTCTAATACTATAATACTATGTGTAAATGGTAAATAACATAAAAAAAATGTTCAGAGTTTTCACCTTCATAAAGAGTTAGACTGGTGTTTCACATCCATAGTAGATATATCAGGGTTAGAAATTAAAACTCTGATTAAAAAAAGTGATATCAGCTAACATTGACCACATAGTATGTACCAGTAACTGTTCTAAGTGCACTGGAAGTATGTTCTCACTTAATCCTATGATCACCCGATGAAGTTCATACTATTATCTTGTTTGTTTTACATAAGGAAACTGGACTCTAGGGAAATTAAGTACGCTACTAGTCTAGGGAATGGGGGAACCAGGATTGGTTAAAGTAGTATTTTGTCATTCCTGATTTCCACATTCTTTGGGGAAGATTTCAAATTGGAATTAGATTTTAAAAATTTAAGTGGTATAATAATATGCACGCTATTCATTCAGGCCCTAGTCTGTGCTTCAGTTTTATTTAAGCACATAGATGAGATGGACATGATGAGGAATATCAAATTGAATATTGGTTACATTACATTATTTTCTATATGTTATGATTCTGACTCTCATGCTCAAGAATTTATAGCAAAATAGAAAGATAGAACAGGAACACAAACAGCTGTCAAGGCTAAGTACTGAGCACAAAAAATTGTGATGAGGATTTAGAGAAAATTTTGCTTCCAGGTAGTAATAGCTTCACAACAAGGGTGATATTTAAGCCAGGTCTGTAAGAGTGTTTAAAATTTAGACAGAGATGAGGTGTGATGCAAGAACAAAGACATGTTCATGAGCTATCAAGGCAAGCATCCTTGATATCTGTAAAGAAGGAGAAGAGATGAAACTGGCAAACTAGAGTGAAGTCATCTGAGCACACTAAATACCTTATGAAGTATACAGACTTTATCCAAAAGACAAAAAAGTTTTGTAGCATTGAAAATAATGACCAAATTTAGAATTTAAGAAAATTAACCTGACAGAATGCGAAGGGTGCATGGAGGCCAAAAGTCAGGTTAACAAAGGGTTAGGAAAGAAGCAATAGGGCACAGAACAAAAGTGATAGAATGGAAAGAACAGGAAGAAAGATGAAGGGAGGCCTGTGCTTCAGGGGCAGAAGGGAAGACAGGAAACAGCACAGCTAGGACCCGAGCAGCTACATTTATTTTAACACAAGTTGGTTCTGCAAAACCATAAAAAAAAAAAAAAAAGGAATTCACATCTTCATTCACTTGGTAAGCATCTACTAAATGTGTATTATTTTGATATTCCCTCTGTAAATATGCATGGTATATCATAATCACAAGGGTTTTTGATTTTTTATGCTTCTCTTCACCTTTTAAGAGACCATAATTAAACAAATATTCAAGTCAAACTCTATCAAGTATTTCCAAATGCTATAAAAAGTGATCATCTTGCTTGAATTCCTGTATAAATAGTCTGATTTACTCTTTGGGCATTTAACACATGGTTTTATATAAAAAATTACCCCCTTAATGGCAAGTTTTAAAGAATTTATCATAAGTAGGTTGAAAGCAGGCATCACTTTAGATATTATTTGATCTCTCACAATCCCTCACCCAGAATAGGGATTCAGTAATGCTTTGTTAGATCAAAGGGATTTTTTTTCTTTTATCTTCTGTGATAGGGATATATTTTTTTTTAGCTTTGTAGACCAAAAGGATCAGTAGCATTTCACATCCAGAACACATGGCCACTGTGAAAGGAGCCACAGAAGCCATGGCTGCCTGAGATTGTGAAAAAGAGAGCTGAATAATGGCAAAGGCTAAGAAGCTATTCAGGATGCCGCTTTCAATAGCAACTGTTTTACAAACAGGAGGAGGCAGCATAGAAATTTTAGCAAAGGAATACCCAAACAACAAACCCAAAGCAGGAACTAAAGCACCTAATATAAGCACCTCTAGGTTAACTGTTTTTACAACCATTAATCCCATTCTGAAAGTCAAATAAAATCCTACAGACATTAAAATAAAACTCAGAGGTCTAATTATTCTCTCCAGGAAGATTGCTTTTTCAGGTACTTTACGTTTGATGACTATTCCAAGGGATATAGGTAAAAGTATGAAAAGAAGTGTTGACATAATTTTAGAAACAGGAATATGATATATACCTGATAACCCTAACATCCTACTATATACGTAAGAATTGGCAGGCATCATTATCAGGGCCAACAATGTTGATATACAAGTCATCAAAATGGCCAAAGTGATATCTCCTTCTAGAAGCAGAGCAAAGAGATAGCCTCCACCTCCTCCTGGGCATGTACAGGTCATTACAAATCCAAATGCTTGTGCCTCAGGTAATGCGAAAATCTGAGTCAAAAGAAATCCAAAAAATGGCATAAGAAAAAACTGTGTAACTGCCCCAAGAATGACTGGCAAAGGTCTCTTCCAAACTGTCTGAAACACCTGCAATTCAATCCTGCAACCAAATGCACACTTGTTTAACAGTACCACAGGTAGAATAAGCATTAGGATATTGCTATTGATATGCATTGATTCCTGGAAAAGATGATCTCTTTGTTTGAGCACTTTGACTCTGACATTCTTTATTTCCTCAATGAGTCTTTCTTGCCTACCTTCAGAATCCCATAGTTGAATAGTCAAATTTGACTCTCCATCTTCATCTGTCACCAGATTTATCGTAAAGTTTGTATCATCCGATAAGGTCTTGGTCACATTTACCACTCGCAGCATAGTCGGATCATCTAACTGCACAGCTAGGTAGCTGGAGCTGGGCTGTTTATCTTTGTAACTTGACCTTACGATGATAGCTTCTTCAGTCTTGGTGAAAAATAGTATTTCTGTCTTTTCTGTATTCAGAACACTGAGAAATGATTTCCTTCCTTCTCCCACACTCACAAATAATAAAAGCAGGGCAATAAAAAGTTTTCCAGTCATCTCGAGAGCTTAAATAAATCATACATGCCAAAATATCGAAAGAAAACTAGAGAACATTCTTCATAAAGAAAGTCTAGTAATAATCTGAAGTTGTTAGGTAAAAGTTGAGCTAGCTCAAAGTCCAGTAGGAGGGACCATTGTACTCTTCAAACAAATACAAAGCTATCTAGTAAGTGACACAACCTGTTCAACCTGCAGTAATGAAAATGTGAAAGCCACAGAGCATTTAATAGGTTCAATTTACCATGGTAGAAACCTGACCTCTTTCCTCCTGACTTCCTTATTTTTGCTAGTGAAAATTCACCCTCCTATTTATCTGAACTTAAAATCTTACTGTCATCATTTTTGAGTTATCTTCCTTCTTAAGGAAAATCTACACTAAAAGCAATCAGGATCCAAAAATCTAAAACATACTGGAGAGTCATATAGGTGGTTGTTACACTTTAGTGCATTCATGTCCAAAATCCAATACATATTTACTGCATATGTCTGCTGGGACACTAAATGAGGAATTAGTATTCTACAATAATTAACCAGATGAGGTCTCTGACCTGGAGCACTATAGGTGGCTATCATTACTCAGAAAATGCAGAGCCCATAAGTTGGCCTTGCAGCATCCACACACTGCTAATCGTTGTCCTTCCACTGTAAGAGAGGTTATCTAAGTCATATACAAGAACTGAAACTTGTTTTGGTGCCCGTAAGTAGAAAGAACATTTCCTGAATGCTTACCAAATAGTTTGCAAAACCAGGTAGTTAGAGTAGAAGCAAAGCCAAAAGGACAAAGCCTGGTTAAGTGGTGGCCATTGCTGGACAGTCCTGACACAGTGAGGCAACAGAAGGCCACTGGCACTAATTTTAATCTCTTATTTTTTCCTTGTAACAATATCCTATTCATAGGGGCAAGGACATTCAATGGACAAAATGTAAGTCACAATCCTACCAGAAATAAGGAAAAGTTCAGACTTCAACACATATACTCACGTACTGTGTGCTTCCCAAAGAAAACAACTGGCTCTGTACCACTGTCCATTGAGCTTACAGACCTGTAGTCTGAATAAATAACCATTTCAACAGACGCTTTATGTAATTCTGACATCATCTATGCCAAGTGCCGACAGTGATGGTTTGTATTAAGTATTTTGAATCAAAAAACATTTGCTCCTCAAAATTTACCAAAGCACTTTTGACTGGACATTTTCACAAAGTTTTAAAAACTTAGCTTGTTACAATTAATATTTCAGTTGTAATAAGACATTCATAAACTTTACTTCCATGTGCCCCATTAAGAAAAATAAGATACATTTTACCAATTTTGACAATAGGAAACTCAGTTAAAATTCTAGGATAATTCCTTAGTTTAAAATGACAAAAACAAACCAATGCTATCTTTATAATAATGTAGCCAAATAGTTTTAATTCACAATATATGTTGACTGTTTCAAACATGTAATGAATGTAAATTTTTCACTCCCAGGCTCCTCTATCTACCACCTTTCCCCTTTTTCAAATTCTCCATCATCCTTCTTAACTTGAAAACTGGGAAATGAAACAAATCTGGGCAAAATCTGAGTAATCTATCACTCACATATATTTACAGGCTAATTACATTTAAACGGAAGCTCCATTGTGTTGGCATTATTACAGCTATTTATCTGAACATAAAACTTTTTCTTTGCTATTGGTAGATTTTCTTTCTCCTTCTAGTTCAGAAAATACTAAGATAAAAGTGGATTGTGAAGCCCTAAAATGTCATTAAACATACTCAGCAAAAAGCCTGAAGAGAAAACATACTCAGCAAAAAGCCTGAAGAGAAAGTCTGAGAAAGTTGGCTGATTTCAGAATAATTTGAAAATGAAAAGCCTTTTCAAAGAGAAAAACTGCCTCACCTACAAGAAGACTACTCATGCGCACCTCTAGTAGTATCTTGTGTCTAAGGATGCTATTGGTGTCCTTCCAGTCTAAATTGCTACACTACCTGGAACTTGACTGAAGTTAGCACAGTTTGCCTGTTGTCGTAAGTTCTTCTCTTCTTGATGCCTGGTCTTTTTTCGTTTAATTACTGATCTCATCTTTATCCTCCTTAAATATAATTTCTGTCAGGTATCATTTTCTGACATATTTAGCTTTAAATCAATTAATGATACATGTGTGGATCACCTACTATGTGCCAGTAATTATGACATGACAGGGTATTAGTTTGTGTTAAAATTTTGGGTCTCTAGAACTACAGCTGTATAATATACAAATAGAAACATTTCTGCTTGTGGTCTTAAGTTTCTGATACAAAAGCTATAGGAATATAGCTATACTTTCTACTTTTTTAGCATCTGTCACTGTAAGTATTGGGTTGTCAGAAAAGTCATGATGCATTTTTGTTTGAGTATATAAGTATAAATATACATCTCTTTTATCATAACCACCATGGCAATTAGAATAATGTCCTTATGCTTAATAAGTAGTCAAATAACTGTGTTAATGAATGAATGTGTAAGTACCTCATAAAAGCTGGAAGTTATCACCATTTTTTGCATGTAAATGGTATGAAGAATTAGTGATGAAATAAACAATGTGTTTAATTCCTTTAATTAACTTTAAACCCATAATTCTTGCTCGTTACAAAATAGAAATGGACCAAAATAACAAATATAAATATTTTCTATTTTATGTAGATTATAGATTAGTATAGATGGAATACATCAATAAAAAAAACATTAATTTTAGTTGTTGACAAAATGTAGTTACTTCTAGCATGTCTTATTCTTTGGCACATACAGACTGCAGTATAGTTGAGGTATCTCATCTTCTCATTTTTTCCTTCTCATTTGTAGTGTATTTGCACAAGCTAAAAAGGTGAATCAAATGAAGGAGGGTCTTTATCAAAGATATAGCCCAAAGTAGTGAACTGATACCAAGAAAATCATTGTGCCATTACTAGGAGAGATTCCTCTCCCAAAAACTTAGAAGAGTGAATGAGATGATCTCTAAGTTTATATGATCATGTATACACATCAATTTATGCATTGTACTGTGGATCAACAGTAAGCATGAGGCACAGTGTTGGGCTAAGGTCCGAGGTGACAAAAGGAAGTCTCAAGTGGAGAGGTCATCTCACTGAACAGAGGCTAATTTGAAGTGTGGCCAAGGTTGCTGATGGCTACCTCCTACATCCCCATCCCTGTTGTCCACCATCACAACTCTGATGCACCAAAGACTGAGGGCTATGGTCAGGTTGATGGCTTTGACTCAGGTAAATGGTATGTGTGATCTTTGAGGTGGCCATTTACATCTCACAGGAAATAAGTTCTGGCCCTATGATGATAGGCTTGGCCATGTGACCTTCTAAAACATGAGTGAGTCATGTATTTTCTAGAAGCGATCTCTTTCTTCCACTACTATAAAAATGGCAATGTCTCCAAAAGGAGTTCTACCTTCATCTTAAATCTTGAAGTAAAGATGACATGTAGCATAGTCACAGCAAATCAGCAGTTGACATTAACCAAATGAGAAATACATATTTGTTGTAGTAAATGCGGCATAAGTTTTTTTTATCAATTTAACTTTGAAGCTTTAATTTTGCTTTTTTAAAAAATATAAGTTTGTTTTTACATCATTTTTTTCATCTCAATTAATGTGGCATAATTTAATAGAAGCTAATTAAATTCAATAGTCTGATAATTAAACTTTGAAACACAAAATTCAAATTAAATTTAATAGAAAACTGATAATGCGAATTATAACAATGAAAATAAGTTAAGTGACAACTTTTACAAATAAAAAATAAGCATAGTGCTTGTATTTAAAAAAACTGACAACACAGAATTTTCCTTATGAGACCTTGACTTGAATCCTTGAACTCAATCTTTGACTATTCCAAGTAAGAATCAACATTTTTTAAAAACTGTTCTTCATCGTTAAGATATTCTAAAATAATATTCCCACCATTATATAATGGGCAATCCTCTTTAGCAATCCAGGTTTCCAAAGCATGATCCAAGGGTAAGGCTTCTCCTGAAGTAATATGACATAACCTTAATTTCTGTTGAGAGAGAGAAATATCACACTATAATCAAGAAATAACTTGTGTGCATAATCCTAAAATATTTAGAGAAAATTATTATAACCATTTATTACCTTAGCTGTTAATTTGTTATTGTCGTTTTTAAGACTGGCTAAAGTTGCTGCAAAGTCTATGACTTTTCCAATGCTCCATCGGTGGCAAAAGAACATTGGTTTGCTCTTCTCTTTGCTCCCTTTAGGTAAGTAAACCTGAAAATAAATTCTCTCTGTCTGTAAAAATAGAAAATTGAAATACAGATCATACACATGAATGACATCTGTTTTCGTCTAATGATATCTCATCCCCTCTTCTCTTGGTCACATTACTCTTGAATGATGCACTTTTAGTAGGAATACAAACCTAGTATCTTCCCAAATGCTTGCACGGAGATGACACACTTGCGTCTTGCTCACTGCTTAGAAGCAGAGATTAGTGTGGACTTACTGATGATTATTGGCATGGATTATTGCTTTTAAAAACTTATTTATGGTGGCCCTCCTTGGTGGCGCAGCGGGTTAAAGCACAGCATTGAGAAGCTAAGACCACTTCCGCATGGGTTCGATTCCCGCCTGCCCCGGAGGAGACCACATGGCGGGGCGGACCTCTCCTGACCCGCCCGCTGCTCCCCTCAGCAGTGTACTTCGTCGATCTGCCTGTTCTGCTCCCCACTCTGTCTCTGGTGAAGCCTCT